GGTAAAAGAACACAAAGAATTGTTAACCTAATTCGGTGAAACTCACCTACTCTGGGAGCTACCAAGCCAAAAAGGAAATTCATTATCAGTAGTATCAATTTGAAGCTAAACAATCTCATTTTATACTTCTCACTTAATCCATATCCAATGCAATTTCTGCCTAAGAACCTCCTAGATATGAGAACCCCTATCACTCCCAATCACCGCAGTGATATCAAATAACAATCCCAATCCCAGGGAATGTCTCAAGAAACTAAAAAGGAAGAATATTCTTCCAAAACAAAAATACTTAGTTTGCTTATAAGCTTCACTAAGAATAATACTCAACTCTTTGTTTAAAAGCTTAGAGAAGAACAATAACTTGATAAACAAGTAATAATCAATCAACTCAAATGTATCAAAAGATACATGAGGACGTACAAAAACAGAAACTCCTTTGGAGAACCCTCAAACCCTAAGACTAAGAAAAGTAGGCTTCCCCTTATTTTTGCAAAGTTCTTAATGAATTTAGGTCTAGGTAATTTCTTTAAATACTCCTCGGTAATTCACAAGCCTTGAACCTTTGCCCAGATATTTCTTCTTGCAAACGATGAGGGATGTACCAATTTGTGCAGAAAGATCTACTTAAATCTTGGAACAAAACACAAAGCCCAATTTTTCCAACCTTCTATAACATCATGCTACCAATTATGTTTTAACAAAATTATGTCGGTACTAAAACCATAGTACTAACACAATTCAATATTCCATATGAGTTTTTGCTTTATAAACACAAATGATGTTTCATTATCAGTCGCTGTGGGACTCTATTTGATAGAGAAACTTGCCCAGTTGCTACTAGCATGGCAATCTCTGGATTTTTTGAAATTTTCAGTGCAGTATCGAAACTTTCGTTGAATTTTCAATTTTTTACCGTGCCATATGAACTTAATCGAAAATTTTAAATTTTCGATATCTGATATTTCAAATTTCCGATATATTTCATCCTTATACGAAATAGGATATTTAAAATTTCCGGTGTGTGGAAATTACCAAAAATTTTAAATTTCCGGTAATACTGAAACTTTTTTTTTTACTTTTACTTGAATAAAATACAAAGTGAAATAGCGAACCGTCTTAATATATAAATAGAATAAATTTCATACATATATGCATTAAAAAACTACAATCACTTCCTAGACAATTCTTCTCAATGCCTCAAACGACCTGCATATGCTTATTCCCATGCTTTTGCATCAGTAGAACAATTCTCCCTACAACAAGCAGTGATGGGAGGTAGTGGATAATCAGGTGTCAACTTTAGCTGAACCCAATGATTATCATTGACAAAACCAACAACAATGATTGTATGTCGACTCACATACGGGGGTGGAGCTATGGGAAGTGGGAAAATGTTATATTAAGTCTCATGAAAATGGAAACAAATACGACTTTGTATTTAGAAGCAATAGAGTAACCCATATCATGAATCGACATCCATTTATCCCTACCCTGCTCTCCCAAGTGTTTTACTTGTAACGAAGTCCTGACAACAGAGACAATATCATAGAACAACTTGGAAAACAAGTCAGCGTGTTGATGGACTTGAGTATCCAACTGCTTCTGAACAGAATAACATGCATCTTGCCCCCATCCTAATATTGCTAAAATACAACGGAAACCAAAGTTCTCATCATCCTCAACATCAATTATGTCATCGATGTATGGATGAAATAAAGCAGAAAATTATGATAAGAACTCAGCTCTTGAAGATTTGGTAGAAGGTTGCTTACTAATCGGCATGGTTGACTATTGACTGCCAATTAGTTTTGTGCATGATCTTTTTGTAGTATGACTCCCTTGTGAAGCTGCATCATATTCCCGCTGGCTAGGATCACAATGCACATCACTCTCCTCGCTCTTTTTACTTTTCTTAAATCCCCTCTTTGGCTTGTATTTCACCGGTGGTCGACACATACAAGTTGTGGATGGATAAGTTAGATCACGAACTTTTTTCTTCAACATCATCTGACCCACAATATCCAAAGTAATAAAATATCTCTTTAACTCTTTACACTCTTCTTATAAATACCACTTACTCTCATCATGAGTCACATTATGTTCTGAAATGTGCAATTTCGTCAAAAATACATGAATTGTTTCCAAAGGTATAAGGATGCCTAAAATTTGGAAACCGACAAGCTGACACGCACACGGTAACCCATGTGTTGTTCTAGCGTAACAACCACACCTCCCCTTGCTTGCATAAACAAATTTTATTCTTTCTAGTTCCTTTGAAATGAGTTGTATACATTGTCTTGAGACAAAACCGTGAAATTTAGAATAGAATGGAGTGTTATATCGATGCTCAATATTGACGATAATTTTTTGAAACGACACTTTGATGAAACCTAGTTGCAACTTCAACATTGTGTTCACAGCATCCCAACTTCGACATAAATTATCACGACTTATAGTCAACAAATTCTTTAGTCTCCAATGTGCAGACTCCACCCTAAAAATCATGAACATATTATCTAAACAACTTTCAAATTAATATCTAAACAAACATATTTTCTGTTAAATCCATGCTAAGTGACTTTGTTAGTCCATGCAACAACAAATCTTTCTTTATATGGTGTTAACCATGTTTCATTCACATACTTGACAAATGATAGAATATTACCACAAACACTCTCGAAGTGGTTGAAATGTACATCAAAATCGTCTTCTGTAATTGAATATATCATATTGTTCCATTGATCCATGACATGTTCTTGTCTTTCTGATTTCACATACTCCTTACATTTCATGCTCATGTTTTTTGAAATATGAAACGTACATAACATATGTGTTGCATTTGGAAACACGGAATCAATGGCATTCATTAATGGAAGTTTCCGTTCCATCACCATAACATTCGGAAGTAATTTCTCTGAATAGAACTGTTCTTTGAACTTCTGTAGTGCCCATGTGAAGTTCTCCTCCATTTCATGTTCCAAATAAGCAAAAGCAATTGAAAATGTCAATTTTGTTGATATAACACCAACAATCTTTAGCAATGATAACAGGTACCTGCACGAGTAAAATGCACATCATCAACCATGTCACTCAACGTATTTTAGGATGAGAGAAGTAAAATTCTTACCTATTTATCTTGTATGTGCAATCACAAATTAACACCATATGAAACATGTTCAACAACTTCACAGAATCAGAATGTGTCCAGAAGATATCACCCACAATATCTGAATTCTCTCTATTTATAGTCCAACACATGTATTTTTCTTGATGAATAAGGCCCAATAACATTTGTATTTCTGTTATTGCACCTTTCTTGCCCAATCTGTATGTTGCTCTAGCTCGATATACCTGGGTAATAATCGTGAGGTTTTCTGGTCTTTGTCTTTCAAAGCAGACACGATGTACCTTGGTGCCATGTTGTACTTTATCATGTCATTCATAAACTTTCTTTCATGATCTTTTAGACGGTCCAATATGTCATGGCCTTCCAAATCTTTATCTAGTCTATGATTTTGCATCCTACATCTAACCATCACCTTTCAACTGATACCACTTGAAACGGATCCCAGCCTAAATGGACATCTAACCTTCTTAGTATAGTTTCCATCAGAAGGGTTCCCAGATTCATTTTTCTTTTTGTAATTTCCTCATATCACAACCCATAATCAATTTATCCTTCCTCCCTTGCACTCCATTAGCAGAATCGGGCCGAATTATAACAACAACAATACCATGATTTTTATCAATAGATTATGCCCATTCTAGAACTTTAGCTCGTGATTCGAAAATCTGACAATTACAACAACATATAATTAATAAACTTCACCAATTTACAAAAAATAAATAAAAAATGTGTAAATTAAATAGGAACCATACGGTATCTATGATGAAGAATTGTGTAAGATCAGTACATGAATATGTAGAAGAAGCTGAAGCTGGCGGTTCAGGACCGCAAGGATATAAATTTCATCTGCGGACATATCGGAAATTTCAAGTATAACTGAAATTTCCGGTAAACGTTTTCTACCGGAAAAATTCGTAATTTCCGATACGTGTGCTGGCTTTTGAAAGTTGATCAGGAAATTTTAAAATTTTTGGTGAATCGCAACCAGAAATTTTGAAATTTCCGATTAATCTCAACCGAAAATTTATAGAATGTGAAGAATTTTCGATAAGCAACTAAAATCGACACCGGAAATCTGCTTAACGTACCAGAAATTTTAATTTTTCACTCCTTTGACCAATAGTAAAAAAAATTGACAAAAGTAAAAAAAAATTAAAATAAATAGTGAAAGAGATATTTTAAGAATATTAAAATTTTGGAGAGAGAGAGACATACATAATGTTAGGAGTGACAAGTTAACTTTTATATATATATATATATATATATATATATATATATATATATATATATATATATATATATATATATATATATATATATATATATATATATATATATATATATATATATATAAGTGTTTATAAAGCATGGACACAAATGAGCTTACAAGTTGAAATCATGATGAGAGTGTATGAGCCATAAGCCCAAATGTTACAAAAAGAATTTTGTTTAATTAAATTCGTAATGTAAAAAAGTTTTAAAAAAAGGTACTATATTATGTAAAAAAGAATTAATATATATTTCTATAAAAAAACAAAAAAAAAAACAAATTAATCCATTTGGATTTTAAAAATAATTCAAAAATATAAAAAAATGTCACTTGTACTGCTATGTTGACAAAATGAGTAAATTTTTGTTTCAATTTAGCAATCAATGACCTATTTGACGGAAATCTAAATATTATAAAATGGTCAAAAAAATTCTTATAAAAAGACAAATGAAAACCCCATATATTTAACCCTAAATCAATTTTAACGTCATAATTGTAAAAGAGATTAAGACTTATGTGTAATTACATTTATGTTAGTTTTCATTCACACCAAAGAAACATTTTTTCCCGCCATCTTCTCCCCAATTCAAACAGAAAAACAAGATGACGCCATTGATACTACCCAAGCTCACTCTCATGTTTCTTGTACTATCCCTTTTACTCTCTTTCGATCAACACAAACCCACCACCACCACCACCACATTCAATTTCATCAACACCATTCCCATACACTCTTTTTCCAGTGGTTCAGTTTCTTTATCAGCAATCAACAATCACTACTCTCAATCTCTTCTTCAATATGATTTCTACCGCGACTCTTGTCCCCATGCCGAACGCATCGTTCGTTCTACAATTCATCGGCTTCATAAAACTACTCCTTCTTTGATTCCAGCTCTTATTCGTCTCGCTTTTCGTGATTGCTTCATTCAGGTACTCTCTTTTTTCTCACATGATTCGTGTTTTGTTTGGATAAACAACTTAGGGTGTGTTTGGCTCTCTTTTTTCTGTGAAAATTGGGTCGCATAACTAGGACTTATTTAGTTTTTAAACTGCATTGTGTTGATTTTGATTGGGTTTGTATATCAGGGATGTGATGCTTCTATTTTGTTAGATGATGATATTTACATTGATCCAGAGAAAGAGTCGCCTCCGAATGGAAATCTCAAAGGATTTGATGTAATAGATACGATAAAATCCAATCTCGAAGAAGCGTGTCCGGGAATTGTTTCTTGTGCTGATATTGTTGTACTTGCTGCAAGAGATTGTGTTGTTCTGGTAACATTTCCTTTCTGTCATCACTTTTAAGTATAGATGGTTAAGAGATTAATTTCTACGCACATGCTTCTGTTGAATATGACTCATAATTTACAGATACGGTTAATCTTGTAAAGTGGACCGAAGTATTTGAACACAATTTCTATAAAAATGCCCCGTAGTTGGTTTGCAGTTAGAGACGTAGGTACAATTGACTGAACGACATGTGTTCTCTGTTTGTGTTTTTTGTATCTTTTTTAGGTTTGAACCATAGTTGTTACTGTTGAGTTTTGAGCATAATTGAGCATTGTGTATTTTATAGGCTGGTGGTCCATTCTATCCTTTGAATACAGGCAGGAGGGATGGTTCAAACTCTTTTGCTGATATTGTGACAGACGAGCTTCCTTCACCCTATGCTGATTTATCTCAAATCATTGCATCCTTCAAATCAAGGGGATTTGATGAAAGAGAAATGGTCACTCTCTTAGGTGCCCACAACATTGGTGTAATCAACTGCAAATTCTTCAAAAACCGTCTCTATAACTTCAGCGGAACTAATGAACCTGACCCTTCTTTGGACCCTGAATTTCTAAATGTACTAAGATCAAGATGCAATGAAGTTGATGCATTGTCCACTTCAACATCAGCATATACATCTCATACCTCACCTTCTTCCTTAATTAAAGAACAGGAAATCACTATGGACTCAGAGAAATCTGTTTCGAATTTTGGGATGTTATACTACCGCAGCCTATTGCAAGGTAAAGGAGTCCTCTACGCCGATCAGCAGCTAATGGAAGGGGAAAAAACTAAGTATTGGGTTCATAAATATGCATCTAATCCTAGTTTGTTCCATCAGGATTTTGCCATGGCAATGATGAAACTCTCGGATCTCCAGGTTTTGACAATGCCTATGGGACAGATTCGACGCACTTGTTCAAAAGTTGCATGACAGTGCTGTTTAGAACTATCTCACATTTTTTGTATGCATTGCACTCTGCTCGTTAACTGTAAATTTGTAGCAGCTAGAAAAGTTCAAATAATATCAATAGTTTATGGAGTATATGATAAGCGTTGATGATATAAGTGCTTAATTAAGTTGTTTATCCAAACAGAGCTGAAGTGTGTAAAATGAGAAAAGAGGCAAACAAAAAAGTTAGAGATTCATATATATTATAAGAAAACATAACACTCTAAACAATTGAAAAGAAAAATAAAGAAGAAAGCTTTAAACAATAGGAACTAAACCAAATACAGTAAATAGTACATCAAACTCGAGTAAAGGAAAATAAGAGACACAATAATATTGTAGAACTGGTTTTTTCTATATATTAGAACATGCTTTGCATTGTGATTAAATGATTATCTTTTAAGTAACTGAATTGGAGCAAGTCTTTCCTTTGAGTTTTTGAAGCTGATAGAAGGATGTGGAACAATAAACTCGGAATTTATTTCAGTGAAAAACTTGTCCACAATGTCTAAATAAATCGAACTTTTAAGGCGAGAATAGTAGTGAAGTGCTTCTTCTATGTCTAATACATGTTCAAGATCACCTGAATCCATCATATCCAACTCCTTCATCTTCTGTGCCAAGACATGAGCTCCATTTTTCTTCAGTTGTGATTGTGACAAGCTACTGTCCATTTTCGCTTTTTCTATGACATCATGAGTACTCTTTTGAGGACTTCGCTTTGGGAAATTCATGAAGTTTCCATTTCTTGCAGCATCTTCCATTGCAGGCTCTTTTGACATTGATTTGGTATTGGTATTGTTATTGTTACCAAACACCCTCATTGTGCTGAGATCAGACTGCAAGAGATCGTAGAACTCATTGTAGAATTGGTCACTTGTGTAAGCTTTCGCATCGTCAATGTTACAAAGGAATGGACTGAAGGAAAGAGATCTTGGAAGTTTTTGGTAGCCTCCAGAGAAAAAACACCTGAAATTTTTTAGACTTTTGCGAAAGAAACTTTTGGTCTTGTGAATGGTTTTTCTTACCTGCGCCATTTTGGTTATAGTGTGAAAGGTTGTGGACTTGTGGCTTTCTCTAAGTGGTTCTGTCTACTAGAGCTGTCATGGTTTAGCTCTTGTACAATCTCAAAACTTTGTCCTAATTCAGACTCACAAATCAAGAGACGTGCACATCATAACTTGTTTGTTTATTACTATCATCATTCACCAACTCAAGAAAAGAGGAAGGTGTTTCATTCAAAATTAATGCTCCTATAAAGTAGATTCAACATACTACTTTTAACAGAAAATTGAGTATGCATCACTGAAAATAATTAATGGCACACATTCTATAGTCAGAAATACTTGCTTATTATGTTTAAAAAAAGAAGTGCATGGTCCACATTGTATAGTAAGATTGGCAATGAGAAGATAGCATTCTATTTACAGCAATGAATGTGACTATTGGACACTTGCCACTGTTTCAATCACTCCATCCACCACTGTCCTAAATTATGAAATTAAAGCGACTGCAGTTTCAACATATTGGCATTATTTGTTGCTTTCTTCAAAAAATTGTGGCCAGTGGAAAGCTACTGAACTCTGGTGGCTACTGACATTAACTTTGGAAGCACAGACATGGATGATAAAGACCAGACCAAATAGGATGTATGTGAGGATGTGCAATTTTATAGATCGATTATTTGTTTTGTTTAGTTGTACAATATTGTTTAAATCAGAAGAAAAAAAAGGTTCAAACATACATGTGAGCAGTACAATTTTTTTTAAAAATTTATTATTTAATATTGAACATTGAAATACCACATGTCATATTTACAACCTGCTAGTCTAAGTATGGTCCCCAAAAAAAACATGCTAGCCTAAGTGGTAAGGGAGATAAAATTCCTAAGTAAATAAGATGCCGATTAAATGTTGCAATTACAACCATTATCTTATCATTGAATGGAAAATTCATCGTTTTACAGTGTACATTCACGGGATACAAAATCAACGAGTAAATATCTAGAATGTTATGAACATGATAAAAGTAAGATGAATCGGTTGTAAAATTTCTCTTTGTTCTTCCCTTTTTGTGAAGTAAACAATACTAGTATACTGTAAGATATAGTGGAAGACATAAATTTACAAGATCTGTTGCAGTGTCTATTGGCAACATGTCTTTTTGAGTTTGAAAAACTGACTCAGCAACCTATGCACTTCCCCGTAGTTTTTAGAAGAAACAAGGCGATCTTTTATCCAGTTAGGGAGCTTGGTGGTTGGGTGGGTGAAGCTCCTTTTTGAGGAATCAGATGCATACCTTGTGTCAACCAATAAAATAGCTGCATAGTCATTGATGTGACGAATCGCTCTACCTAAAACAGTAAACAAGCATTTATCAGTGAAATGGTTAGTGGAAAAACCAATATATTAAGATTTAGATGGGTACACGTGGTAGATAGGTACTAAGTACGCAGTGCACATCACCATACAATTTCAAATATTAAATCGGTGATTCGCTCATCTCTTATTTTTTAACAAACCATTTAAACTAGTGGGCGAAATCATATGGAAAAGTAAATTCCACAAACCAGTGCTTAACCTCTTGAGAGACTAACATTCCATAGAGTTACCTTTTTGAGGTTATTGTAAGAACGTACCTATTGATTGATTTACAGCCTTCATGCAGAGATTCTCGTAATACTCTTTTCCCCGGTAACTGCAACTTCTTAATATGCCAAAACCACTTAGTATATCTCCACCATATACATCATAACCAGCAGAAAATGCAGGATTTTTAAGGGACTTGGGATTTCTAAAACCATCAATATGTTTTATCCTCTCCAATAATTCAATGTCAGAAGGGCTAGCATATGGTAGACCAACCATGAGTATGCACCGACCCATTCCATCACTCAAGTTGATCCCTTCAGATAACTTTGCACCAACAACAGCGAGAAGTACTGCACCGGTATGAGATGCTTGATTCACTTCTGAATTCACACTTGATGGAGAATAAATGGTATCTTTGTATTCCTTAAGAACAGATTCAACATCCATATTATTTCTAGGCTCTCTAAAGACACGTTTCTTCTTTGTAATCCTTTTGAGGATGCCAGAAGACTCCCAATTTTCATAGACTCTACTTTCATAATCAAAAGAAGGGAAGAAAACTACAATTCCTTGGGGAACAACAGTAATCAAGTTGCATAACAAAAGACCTAGTTCTCGCATCTGTAAAGCACAAGATGCAGCGTAATTAGTCATTTTCCACATTTAATTGGCTCGTATGGTTCTCAAAAGACATGGTTCTCATTATTTTTATATATAAAAAATACATGCATTGTGTTGCATTTCTTTCCTGCAATTAATCTAAATTCTGGTCAACTATTAAAAATCATTTTGGTTTCTGTTTGTTATTTCAAAAATATCAAAATAAAATGCACATTGATGGTTATGATATTAGTTTTCCAGAATTAATATATCAGAGAACCTATATTGAATGAAGAATGGTAGATGAGAGCAATGATATGCTCACCATGTCTGCTGAGCTCCTGGAGCTGTAGCTAAAATCAAAGGAGCGGCCAGTAGGCCCACGGGAAACTGCAATTGGCATAATGCTCTCAGGAGGGACAATATGACCACAAGAAAAGAAATGCAACTGATCTGGTGGTAACCATGGAAAAAGTCTCTCCCTTGTTTCTTCTATTGGCTGAAGTGTTCCTCCTACTAACACAACGGCATGTGCTTCGTCTACAATCTATTGAAAGTTTCAAAGTTATAATTTATTTGTTCATTGTTTGCAAGGGGAAAAACTTGCACTAAAAAGTCTTGTCTGATTAAGGCAAACCTCGGAGAAAATCTTCTCTGCGCTGAGCATAACATATTTAATATATCCTTGACCTTGTTTCCTGAAGCTTGTTGAACTTGACCTGGAAATTATTATCCTTCCATCACTGTCCTTATTTACAAGTGATAGCAACATGTCGGCTAATGCCTGGAAAGCAGACTGACAGCTTCCATCTTCACCGTGTTCCCCTGCTATATTAAGTGCTGATACCTTCTCCAATGTAGCCAGCTTTTCTCCATAGCCACTTACCTGGAAAATCAAGTAAGCTTTTACATCAAAATGACAACATAAAATTCAGAAGCACAAGTAGCATTCTGTTGTGTCAAAAGAAAATGTAAATATTTAGAAGTGAGAATCACCTTGTGCATGATATGGCTTTCCTTTATGTACTTTAGCAATTTGACCAAGTTGATATTGTCTATATTTAGTTCAAATAAAAAATCATTGATGGCCATAGTAAAATCCGAGGCTTTCCTTTCTTCAGAAGCCTGTTCTATATCAGGACGCAAATCTACGAGACTTCCATCTTTTTCATTGAGTAGTACTCGGAGAAATTCGTGTATGAGGACCATCAGAGTTTGAATATATCTCCTATTAGCAGGTCCCAAAAGGTTCCGGAATCTCACAAAGTACCGCTCAACATGGCGATGCACATTTTCTAGCTGTAAAAACAAAGAACTAAATCATTTAATCCAAAAATGAATGGGAAAATCAAAACTAAGCACCCAAAGCATTGGTGTCTAAACGAAATAACTCTTGTAATGTCAACACTAAAGATACAATAATTGACCGTTAAATGAACCAACATTTGAAATCCTTAAATATCCCTTCATTTGGTAGACTTTTCAAATCAATCACCCCAAATGAAACCTTGTCTTATAGCTCTATTGATTGGGAAACCATAGAATTTGGACAGAGTCCCCAAGTTGAAGTTTTTGACTTTTGGTCGCTGCATCATCAGCCCACTCTATCCTGATTGTTGATGCAGAGATGGAAATGACAGGTAGAGATGGAAATTAGTAAAGCATCAATAAAGGTAGAGATGGAAATGACAGGCATACCTGTGACATAGTAATTTTGGAGTCATACATGCTGATGAGTGAATCAGCCAAATTATGAGCCTCGTCTATTATAACAATGTTGGATTTCAAATT